GCTCTCCAGTCAGACAGCCCATCCTCCTCCCCTCTAGGTCCAACAGACACTTACTAGCCACTTCTGAGGGCCCCATTACACAGAGGGGGGAAGAGGGCCCTTTGTGTCTTTGGAAACTCCATACTGTCTCTCAATTTGGAGTAATCTCCCAAGCCTGGACCATCTTTCTCCACACATCCAGAAAACAACACATTTAAGTGCAGCTGCAAGTCAATGGGGCTGGATACCCAGGGGCAACCAACAGAAGCAAAAAACCACTTCTGTCTGGAGCAAAAGGATTAAAGAAGGTCAAATGCTAAAAAGCAAGAATAACACCATATTGTCAAGGGCAGCTGGAAGGGGCCACTACAATGGAAAAGTCGGAACTGACTGGAAGCTGGGAAAATCGGATTCTCTTTCTCCACCACTTTACTTACAGCAAGGAGATGGCCCAGGGAGTCTAACACCACTCAATCTTTATTCTACAAAGGATTTTTAGTTTGACCAAATCCCACTTCTGTTTTATTTTTGGATCCTGGCATCATTATACTTCACATTTCAATCTTTGTAATTACTGTGAAGGGAGATTGAATTCTTTTGTATCCGATGCCCACAAAACTAACTTTCAATCGCTTTCCATTTTAAAAAGGCAGAAGTGTCATTAAACATTTGTGTTTGAGCCAAAAAATTAAGTCCTCAGGTCAGAACTCAAGAACAGTAAGATGTTAATCTTCCAAAAGCTCTTGATTAACATAGTCCTACTTATTTTTAAAGTAAATATCAAGGTTTGTACGAATTTATAACAATTTTTTTAAAAAACTCTTAATCTCAAGAACATCTCACCAAGGCCTTAACTGCACTTCCAGGAAGGATGACAGATGAGCTCTTAACCCCCTCAGATTTCCCCAAGGATCCTGGAGGAGGCAAGTTACCCAGTAATACAGAAAGGGGAGAGAGCAGAGGGAGGGAGAAAAAACACATGCACGCCAAAAAGGAAAAAAAAATGTCCCCTTTAAAAAAATGAGCATTTAAAGTGCTTGTCAGCCGGCTCCCTGACAAAGCCAGTAGTGTCTTCATAGCCATTTGCATAAATGCTGCCGGTGAGTTCACCACGGCTGCTAGCGCTAATGGTACATAAAGTAATTTAGTCACTTCTCCCGGCATTCTGTCAGGATGATGAGCATCGGCACTTTGCCTTGTTGCATATTAGATCATTGGATAATAAAGTGTTAGCACATGCGAGCTGGCAGGGTCCCCACACCACAGCTCTGTGAGGGCACTGCTTTTGGCAACAGGGGGAAAAAGAGAGAGAAACTGATGCCACGTGTGGCCTTACATTCAAATAAACACAACCTGAAATCTCAGAAGAACAATGATAACACACCCCGCAAGCCCTCAGAAGATCGCTAACACACAGTCCCCAGGAATTTGCCCAAGTGATGGGGAGATAAGAAGGGCACAGAAGCCAGGGCTGTGCATTACCCTCCCTGCGGTCAGCTCAGGGTCTTTGACCCCAAGTCTACGCTTTTTCAAAAATCAGAATCCTGAGAGCAGTTAGGTTCTGAGGCTGCCTCTCTCCACAACTATACATCTTCCCTAACACTACTGCTTAAAGAGAAAACCTCACTGGCCTAAATTCTCTCATAAATATCCAGCCAAAGAAAATCTCAGTATTTATGAATGAAGGAAAAAAATAGGAGGGAGCGCAATTACCATGAGCTACAGCGTGCCAGGATTCACCCTCTCTGGACCACACAGGAGTCTGAAATAAATTTGCCTTTGTCAGCTCTCTTACTTGAAATACAGGGACAGTTATTTGAGCACGGAGGTTTGTGAGTCTGTGGGTCACACAGGGAAGATGGCATGAATGTAAAGTGTGGTCTCTATTTCTCTTATATGCAGAAAGGTGAGCCACGAAAGAGAACTTTCTTCCAACCACCTGACAAGCAGGCTATAAAAAGAGATGTGCAGAATAGCTTGAAATAATTCAGGCTACCTGTAAATGAGATGGTAGGGAGCCCAGAATGAGGGAAAACAAGGCTCCTGCAAGTCACCTAGGTGGTAAAAACAGCGCATGCAGTCTCACTGTGGGGCAGCTCTGTGAGGTGGGGGTGTGAGAGGGAGGGGCTGACACGGGGTATGGCTCTGTGAGTCAGTTTCAAATAGGATTGTTTAATAGCAAGATAAAGTATTACTATATCCTCAAGTCAACGTGAATTAGCATCAAAGTCCACTCCCACACAGCATCATGAAGAAGCCCATAGTCACTCTCTGCTGAGTAGATATTTATGTGTCAGCTTGAAGTGTCTAAATGAGTGGGTGGTTATGTGTGGTTGGTTGATTCATTCTGCAGAGAAGCAGATTTCCACGTTACTGTCATTACTGAGAACCTCAAGGTGTCTGCCTTTTTATTCTTCTGGGTAGAAATGAAGTCAGGTTTTGGTGAGAGGGAGGCCCCCTAGCTGAAGGAGAAAGGACACACTCGGGTCGCAGTGATCGTTAACCATGAATAAATAGTGAAATGTCATTATTTCTCGAGTAATATGCTAAGAAGAATATGGTCATTTGTGGACTGGTCACCTGCAGCAGAGGAATAAAATGTTGTCTTTAAAACTCAGAATACAAACACTAGCCCAACTGAAATATTAATATGTCCACCTAGAAGGGAGAATGTTTTGAGCTGGAAGGCAGCTTACAGATATTTTGATCCAGAAATCTCAAACTGTGAGCCTCTGGCTGCCTTCTACCTAAGTGGCTTTCTTCCCCTGTCCTCCCTTCTGGGGCTAAAACACCTGTAATTTGTTACCAACAATTATAAATTGAGAGAGTTTTACTTCCGGTCAGACTGGAACATCTGGCCCACCTGGGCTCTCCCTGCCCTTGATGACAACTGCCCGGGGCTTGGGTCAGCAGAGCATGAACTTGCCCTTCTTCTTCATTCTCCACCCAGCCAACTTCCCCTATGTATGTGACCTGCCCCCACCCAAGGCACACATTTTTTTTTTTTACCTCCCAAAGATCATCACCTTCACTTTGCCGAGAAGTAAACTAAGGATCCTCAAAGGTAAGCTGACTTGTCCAAGGTCACACAAAGGCTAGAAGTGAAGCTCAGAACTGGTTTAGGTATCAAGGCTCTTTCTCTCCCATGCCATGATGTAACACAATGTTCCTGACCTCAAAGCCCTAGAGGTATCCTGGCTAGTGAGTTTGTTTTTTGCTGGTTTGTGTTGGGGGGTTTTGGTGGAGGGATGATTTGCAAGGTGACATGTGCTCTCCCACCAGCTTCCCAAGGGCAGGAATGGGAACCTAGGTGTGGTCTGCAAATGGAGCATATTTTAGAACTATGAACCCATGACTGTCAGATACCAAACTGACAGTCAAGTCAGTTCCCAGACAGGACAGTAACTAACGGTCAGAGTTGGAAACAAGATTTTGGCTTTTAAGCCAGTGTTGTCCAAATTGTGTCCACTGAGTATTTACCTATTTTTTCCTTCTTCCTTTCACCTCAATCTTTCTAATCATACAATGTCTGAAGTGACTCCAAGGGTATAAAAATGGCAATATTACTATAAAGTGAGGATCCGAATAACGTTAAGTACAGAAATGGAGCTAGGAATGTAATCATGAGCAGGTGTTTCAAATGGCCTCCTGCAAAAAGTAATATCCATCCATCTCAGCACTAATGAAACCATAAAGAAGCAGCTTTTGAAAGATGATGGTTTACTTTAAAAAGACTGTAAAACTGGATGTGGTATAGAATCCCTTCTAAGAGTGTTCCATCTGGCTAATTAATAAAAAGTACTGATTGTGTATTCCTTAGGCACAAACAAAAAAATCAGGCAAAAATGATGACAGTAGTGTGTTTATTAAATTGAGATGCCAGCAGAGAAAGGAGTTTTCTCCCCTATGAACTATATCATGGACAGTTCATGGTCCATCAAAAAATCAGGCAATCAGGTGGTACTTTGTGTGATAGTGTTTTCAAAAGAATTCTTATGACCTAGCAAACTGAAAGTGAAATGGGGAAAACAAGTGAAGAGTTTAATTGAGGAGACTGGAGAAAACCTAACACAGTGACTGGTATCCAGTTGAAATTCAGTCACAGTTTTTTGGGTGGATGGATGGATTGATGATGGATGGATGAAAAATGGATGGATAAGTAAAGGATGAATGGAATGGATAGATAGAGGATGGATGATGATGGATGGATAGATGGGTTGATGAATGGATGGATGATGGACAGATGGATACACTACATATATATATAGACATATATATACAGGTAGCACAGAAACATTTGGACATATGCTCAGTCCAGCCTATTGTTCCTTTGAGTGGCATTCACTTTCTTTGGTTCAAATTTTTGTCTGGTTTCCTCTAGTCCTCTCAAAGGTACAACTAACTAGCCATAAAATGAAGACAAGTATGATGTCTTCCCACCAAAATCTGCCTACATAAAGCAGGCTGCATCATGTGGTGATGAGGGGTAAGGCACACACAGGGCACGGAAGGGACATTTAGTTTGGAATTTATATGCAAAAAGAAACACATCCAACCAAGACTTTGGAAACTTATCTCCAAATGAAGTTAAATGTATGGTCACAGACACATACCAGTAGGACTATAAAGAAAGTGAAGTTCATTATACAACAAGGTCAACCACAAACTCAAAATACTCAAAATCTCAAAAAACTCAAAATCAGGATTTTTGTTGCCCTGCTTTGGCCTTTCATTATTTTTAAAATCAAGTGGCAGTTTAAAATAAAGCAGTGGTCCAATCTCCCTCTGTCTTTCCACCATAAGGAAGGAAATGTCAGCCATTTCCAGGGTAGGGACCTGTGTAACAAGAAAGTCTGGGCCTCCAAGATATCTTCCTGTATTGAAATATTCAGCATCAATACTGTTCAACAGGACATTTGAAATTTGAAAAAGGGTAGAAAAGATGGTGGAGTTGGAAGAAAGAAGCCAAATAAATGCACAGTTAAAGTAGCAATGACAACCAATGAAAATGATTCGCCTACCATGTTCCAGATAAGAGGGCGTACCTTCCGAGGGGTCAAGCCTCCGAGCCCTCCGCCCATGCTTTGAGTTATTATGGACAAACATATTATCAGAGACTGCCAGGACATGGCCATCCACATTGACTGTCGTAGACACCACGACCTGGAGACAGAAGAGAGAAATGAATGAACATTTTAATATAAAAGCACGGAGGGTAATAAACTCAAGTTAAATAAATAACAGCTGGGAGCTGCAGAAAATTGCATAGCTATTTCACATAATAACTGGTGCTTATGCAGTACAAGTCTAACAAGAGGAGCTATTGATGAGTGGGTCTCTGGCATGGAACGCTTTTGATGCAGTTTTAAGTAAAATTGCACAGTTTATAGTTATACAGCAGAAGGTACACTGTTAACCATAATTTTAACAAGAGGATCTTTATTAGCATATTTTTTTTTACACAAGGGTGGTTGTGTTTCACCTAAATTACCCTTCAGTTTAGACACTGAAGCAGATATCACAGTTGATCATGCAAATAAAAATCTTTTGAATCTTTAAAATATTTCCCCCCCACCACTGTGTCAGGGTTAAGAGGAGAGAGAAATGAAAAAGAGAGGTTTCAGTGAGAGCTGGGATGCAGTTTTCTCTCCTGGGTGTCTTTTTGGGGTTTCTTGTACTTTTTTCTACCCACATTCATTTAGTTAAGCAGACATCAGACCAAAGCCCCCCCTCACCACCGTCACCACCACTACCCAAAAATCCTTGCTAATTAAGAGTCTTAGAGCTGTGTTTCAAAGCCAAAAAGAAGAAGCCCTGGCCCAAGGTACAGTCAGTCAGATACCCTGGCGGTCCCATAAACTGATTGGAGTTTGCCAGAAGGGACCTTTGCCAGGCAAAGGTGTTTTCTCAGAGAACTTTGACTAAAACAATGAGAAGAAATGACCTACACTTCTCCTTATATTAAATGGGGAAGAGGATTAAAACTGAAACCCACAGAGATATGTTTATTCATGCGACCTCTTACAACCAAATATAATAATTGTCTGTAATTGCAGCTTCAGCGCCCACCTCATGCTTTGACATGGGAAACAGCAATCAGCCGGCTCCCGTTTAATCCACCTATTATGTTGACTAATTAACTTTGCTCGACAGTTTATTTCTTCCTCCATTATCAGCCCCTGTCAGCCGCAAGCACCCTGCAGCATAGGGGGGACCTCAGGCTCTTTGATTGATCACCGATAGATTGACATGCAGATTAATTTAATTAGAATCACCTCACTTGAGAAATGAAAGACAATGGCAAGAGGGCTAATAGATCTGCTCTCATAATGAGGCGAACCTCCAGAGCCAAGGCTGGTGATTTCTGATTTATTTTTGCTCAATTCCCTAGCTGCTTGGGAAGACTCGCGCTTTAATTGTTCTTGGTTTTGAGAGGCATTAGCCCCTGAAGAGGTGAAACGCTTTACAAGGATTGGCACATACTGAGGCCCCAGCTTCTGAGAAGCCTTTTCTCCAAGTTGGGGAAAGGGGACCCTGCCTTCTAGAGTCTTGGGCAATGAATGCTCCGATTTCATCACCTGAGTTGGGCAGAGGGGAAAATGCTGGGCCTGTGAACTGTAAGCCCTGCCTGGAAAAGCAACCCCACTCCCAACCCTGTAGACCCCCACCAATGGATGCCACACTTAAAAGTTCCACTGTCTCCACCTCTTTGACCTCAAAGCATCCTGGTCAAACACAGCAGATTCTCTGCCCCTTTGCCTCCAAGATGGCAACACAATTTTTCTGTTTTCTTTCTGGGCCCTCCCTTCTGCAGACTCGAGGCTCTTTTCCCCTACACCAAGAGGGTCTAGACTTTCTCAGACCCAGGAAATGGGGTCCCACTCTGGGGTCTTCCAGAGATGACTGCTGGGGGTGGGGGGCTCCTGTGGGGTCCCCTCCATTCTCCCTCAGAGTCCTCATCAAGATCCAACTCCAAGCAGGACTCGGACACTCACCTGATTTTATTTTTCACTTCTATTTTGCTAAAATGCGAAGTAAACAATTAAGAGAGTCCATTCAGGGACTCAGGGTGTTCTCCTTAGTCATTGTGAAATCCAAAATTCCAGCCAGGGCAAGTCATTCATGGAAGGACACAGTCAGTTCTAAGCAGCAGTGTGCAAAGTGGCTTTTCTCTTTCTTCATGATTGACCAACCAGATGTGACGGCTTGAGGCTCTGTGTGTGCCTCATCAATTATAGGGTAATTCAGAAGGAAGAGAAGGAGAAAGACTAAGAGGGAGAGGAGAAGAAAGTTCTCTGTTCTTTTATTTTCGAAAAGTACTATGAGTGGTGGCAGAGTCCATATTATTTAAAGCAACAGAAATTCACTTTTCTTTTTAGTTCAGGAGATGACTTCGTGGGACATTTACAATTATGTAACGGAGCTGGGTCTTTCAAAGAAATTTTGATTTACTACAAGACCACAACTGAGTGGTCACTGGAGTCGTTAGCTGAAGAAACTATAAAAGGAATGACAAACGGTATCTGTTTCCAGTGTCAGGAAATACAGAAAGTGGTTATTCTAGACGTCTGTCTTTAAAAAAAAGAGCAATGACAATCCAACATGCACCTGTAAGTCAGACTGCTACAGGCTTAAAATATTCAGTATCATTTAAAGACATTGTCATCTAATTCCTACATTGAACAAAAACTGAAAACGGTTAGGAAAGAAAACTACACCCCAGATGTCTTTCTTTTCTTGGTAAGACAGGGATTACCAAGGCCACACATGTGATAGGATAATTTCATTGAAAGACCAATTATAATTGGAGAAAGTTGATACCGAGAATTCTCATGCCTTTAAATTTCTAGAAAAAAAACACCTTATATGTTCCTCAAAAACTCATAACACTGTACATTTTAACTTCCTTACCCCAAAATAATTTCTCTCATTCCAATTTGAAATGATATATAGTTAAATAAAATAAATGCTGCAATTAATCCACAGAGCAACTTGTAAATACATATATATTTATAAATATATATACAGTATATATATATAATGCTGAGATGCAAAGGGAGCACTAAAAAATCCTTTAAAAATAAGCCTATACTGGGAGGGAAAAGGGCCTTCACAGTTTAAACACAAGATTAATGAGGTGCTGACACGTTCATGCAGGCAAGGGGACAGGCAAGCCTGCCAAATCTTCAACCTTCCCAAATTTTGTCAACAAAACTCAGCTTGAATTTGGGACAGATAAACATGGAAAATGATTTTACATTTGGACTTGACCATCCCTTCCCTTTTCTACCTTATTCCTCACTCCACTGACCCAGGATAAAATGAGGAACAGGTATATTTAGAATTTTATGATATCTGTTATAATTAATGTAGTCTAGAATTATACTAATACAATAACCACATGTTTGGCTATTTAAATTTATGGCTATTTAAATTTAAACTAACTAAATAAAATGTAAAATTCCATTGTTCCTGAGTTTCCATAGTCATATTTCAAGTGGTCAGTAGCCACATGTGGCTGGAGGCTACTATATTGGACAAGGCAGTTACAGAACACTGTCTTCACTGAAGAAAGTTCTATTGGACAGGGCTGCCATAGAATGATTTTGAAATAAATTGTTCCAATTTATTTGTGAGGATGCCCAATTTATTTCTCCTGAAATAAGTATTAAGCTTAGGCATGTTTAGGGTTATATATGTATTATCTTTGTATTTTGGGGGAAGTAAAACTCTATCTGGAGAAGGAGCATGGCTTTTTAGTATAGCAATCCAGAGACACGCTGATGAATACTCAGTGTGTTCCACGGTATTTTCTGTTTGTGTCCAATTCTCCAGGTGACAATATTCAGTGTGAGGGAATAAAAAGGCCACAATTATACACAGACTTTGAAGATTTTGCAATGAAGTTTTCAATTTCTTGGCTGATTACAGTGGTTCACAATTTGCTATGTTATATCCTAGATCTAAATAGACCTAAACATTATTATTTTTACTATCTCCCCAATCTATTTAGAACTAAAATTCAAAACAAAACTTATGACTTTTGACTCTCAAGCTTTCCTAGCTGATGTGACTTTGGCCAAGTAACTCAACCTCTCTAAGCCCCTGTGTCCCTGACTCTCAAATGGAAATGTTAATAGTACCTAACTCATAAGGTTACCGTGAGGCTTACATTATTTAAAGTGGTTAGTATGGTTTCCAGTTCTCACAGAGCAAATGTTAGCAGTGCTAGCAGAGTTGTTGCTTTGTTGGTGATTTCATCAACAAGTTCAAGAACCTGTGTTGGGCTGATAATCTGAAGCATCTTATTTGCCATAAAGAGGACCCAGCATAAATTGTTAATTTAAATACAAGGATACAGAAACTATTTCTTCTGCATTCACCCTTTATTAGTTTAACAATGAAATCTTACAAATTTAAAGACCTTCATGTTCACAACATTTAATTATGTAATTTAGGCCTCTTGTGAATTGCAAATTTCAACGGTTTCTGTACTTTTGCTTTCTATAAACCGTCTGCCTATTAGCCTTTTACATTCTAAACTTGAAATGAAATGAAACCTTATTGCTCTGAAAATAGCCTGTAAATTTTTCTGCATTTTATCAGTGCAGTGTATTTTTCCTAATATGTCCTTTTAATGAGGGATTCTTTAAGAATTTTGTTATTGGTTATTATTTCCTTGCTATCATTCTTTAGGCTGTCCCTCTTCCCTTCCAATCAAGCAGGAGACCCTGTATGTCTCAACTATGTTCTCTCAAATTGATGAAGTATAATCTGTCTCATGAGCGGATTTTCAAAAAGACACAGGCAGCTAAATTCAGTGATGAGTGGCAGATCACATTAACAAAAGCAGTAGCTCATGTGGAAGAAGGGTTAGGACATAGGCCACCAAGAGTTGAAATCTATATCTTTAAACATTTCTAGGGGGATGATTAAGTCATAAAAATATTTTCCGTGTTTAAATTTAGAATATCTTGGTAAGAAGTACCTCTCTCTAAAATATAACATCTTCAGCAACTTAATTTTGAATAACAATTTAAAAATTATAGATCTTGGTTTTTAAGGCTTATATATGATAACTCAATGTAAGGAAATTAGTGCTAAAGCTGGTCTATTTCACAGCTTCCTTACCTCTGGGTTTAGCTTATTCTATGTTTGCATTA